GATTATAAAGTTACAGTGGGAAAAATAAGACTTTCTGTCTTAGACATTGCTTATGTCTATATGCTTCAATGCTTATGAGTGCGTCATAATGACCATTGACCATATGAGAGGCTTAGAAATAGAAAAATAAAACTGATATACAAAACCATGCACTTTAAAAACAGGTAATCTGATCCCAAAGTTTGAAAACTAGAGTGGCGTCACATTACTTATTTAATCTGAGGATATAAACAGCTCACAAGTTTAAAATGTATGCAATAATAGGTTCAAATATGAAATTCTTGCTGTTTTTAAAGAAAACTACTCATCCTTTTGTTTTATCATAACAATATGTAGGTTTCATGATTCCTAAACTGTTTATCTGAAGAATCTGGAATCAGTGTTCAGTCCACTTAAGATCAAGCTGCTTGTTGTGCTGGTCTCAATCTGTGAAGATCATCCAAATGGCAAAAAAAGTACAGATACAATTCTATTTTTTTTTTTAAATAGTGTAATGACTTCCTAGTTTTAATATTTTTAGTTTAGTGCTTACTCCACTTTCAGTTTTGCTTCAACCACAATATTGGTCTTGCTGCAGATCTTGATGCTCAGTAATGTTTTTGTTCGCATCGTCATTCACACTATTATCCACATGTGATCACTATTGGACTTCGTTCTGAACAAATCAGGTTTCCAAAGCTTCCTTCACACCCAGGAGGAGAATGCTAACCTCACACAGCGTTGTTCAGTTTATGGAAGTAATGATGAATGTGACTGTCACAAGATGTGTTCAATAAAGATTTGTTGAAAAAAACTGAAACCTGGACAGTGTAATAGTGGATGCCGGTGTCCTCGTGCTGACTATTGAACAATGGGGACTGACAATATCTTGACAACATCATTAACAAAAAACGAAGGTAAAACAAATTGCACAACTATTAACAACCATTTGCCGAGCAGTCAGTGAAGCTGCTGTCATCTCTATGGATGTATAGCAGGGGCTCTGGAGATTATGTTAAAGTTTGTCTCTATTGCAGTAACTGTGAAAACTATTGGATATGTATCCAGTTTAGTACCTCTTATGAAAGTGGCTCAAATAGTTGATAAGATCTGAATTGATCGCATTCGTCTGCAGTGCGGCTTAGATGTGAACCCAGAATCATATGCAGTTCCTGTTCCTTGAAATGGTTAAAAAATACCTTTAGCACTGATTTAAAGTTGTGGAAATGCTAACCTGAGCTTTAAAAGTCAGCCAAGACATCGTCCCTTAATTGTCTGTCAATGTTTTGTTTTAGGGTTTTTTTTTATCTACCAAAAGCTGTGTTTTTTTAAGCTTCTTTAATGATTTTCTAATTAAATATTACCAACTAAGTTCAAGACATTAATAAAATATTGGCATATTCCTCGCAAATGTATTATCTACACTAAGACTTTACATGTTTTTGTTTTTCTTTATGGTTAAACGTACTTTTAAAAGCCTTTAAAGCATTTTTTACTGAAGCGTTGTGAGGGTCACCTTGAGTTACACTTTGAATTATAATATTTCAACCCCAAAAACATCATTCTTGTTTTAATGGACCTTGCTGTGTGCATTGGTGCACAGTTGTGCCTGAAAAGAAAATGGCCATTCCCAAGCTGGTTCCACACAGTCTGGAGCCTGAAATACTAATAATAATTTTAGATTCAACCCTTTGAAGTGTAGATAAAAGTCAGTGGTAGATAGAAAGATGATACTTAAGTCCCTATTGAAACTTCTTATTGCAGATTTACTCCAGTTGACAAAATGGAAACACGTCATTGTCACTAAAATTAATACATCTTGCTCTTTGTTCCACATGAACATCACGAAGCCTCAAGTTAAAAAAAAAAAATCTTTCTTTTTATTGAATGTAAGCTGCTCTGGTTCACCTACAACCTCATCCATCTTTTGACAGTCTGCAAACCTTTCCAATAATGCACTTGTTTAAAAGGGAAAAAACTCCACTTCTGCAGTGCTTGTCACGCTCATTTATTAAAAGGAAAACCTACGCCACTGACAGAGATGGATAGATGTGGTTATTTGTCTCTTTAACAGGAGGTTTCCGCTTCGACTCACATTCTGTTTATCCCTTCTTCTTTTCCAATCAGTACGGGGGAGGGGTTCTATTTCTATGGTTATTAATACCTGCACTCAGTCTTTTAATCTGCCCTATTTGTCACATGTAACTGTCTGACTGCACTGTTTAATCTGGGTATCCTTCAATCTGTCTCACTTCAGATTAGAAATTAATGAAGGCGGAGAGATTCAGTTACAGTGTAAGGGTTGTACAAAGAATAGGAAGAAGGAGGGATGAATATTGTTCATGTGACAGTGCTTTCTCTTCTTCTCTTTCGTCCCCTTTCTCTGTCTCTCCATCATCATCCTCATCATCTCCCTCGCTCTCTTTTCTCTTGTTTAGCTGCCAGATGTAGCCCATTTTTGCAGCCCCCACCTTACCCCCAAACAGGCGCTCAGCACGTGGGCCCTTTGGTGTGCGGCACCTGTGTAGTCTAATACAGTCAGCAACTGTGTTGTTTATTCTGGATTTGTTTGGTACACTTGAAAGCTTGCCTTTGATCCATGCAAAGATTCATCACTTTCCCCCCAAACGTTTTCCTGATTCATTCTCTGTCTCCCTCATTTCTAACCAGTAATGTAGAGGAGTTTTGTTACATCAATGATTTCCTTATTATTTTTTAGTTCTTCTGGAAGGGGGTGACTTATGTTTTTTTTTTTCTTTTTTTAAGCTTTTACTTTCATTTTTTTTTTTTGCAAATATAAGGGGCAGAAAAATACTACTGACCACAAAAGAACCAGGGAGAACTTGTGAAGCGTCATGCTAGGGAACATAGACTGAGATGTTTACATATATCCTTCCAAAGGCAATAAATGCAGAATGGAGCAGGGGATACTTTTGAAATTCATTTTCTTTGCAATTGCAGGAATACTTAATGGTTCATTCATACATCTAACAACTGAAAGAACTCAGCCTAATTGATGGTTAATTCCAAGCATATAAGTACATAACTAAAAGATGGGAAGATGATTGCTAGAATATGTGTAGAAAAGAAAGGATAAAGCTAAGAGAGACTTCCTGTGCAAATTCTCAGTCATCTGGGTCGTGGCAACCACAAAACAGGCTTAAATTGGAGGCAACCTGACTTTTGCTTAGTTTTTCAGAAGATGTTTAAAGGAAATATTCGAGTCTCTTTGTAAATTCTTACAGCTTGTAAAAGAGTAATCTGTAGTTGGAGCACTGATTATTTTTAAGGAACTTAAAGGGCCCATCCTGCTAAGCACATTTCAAGTGAGATGCAAATCAGAGCTGAACGTATTCCTGGGTTTTTTAGCCTTTTGTTATGATGAGCTTTGTGTTCAGCCTGTTGAATCAAAGTGAGACTGCTTGTGTGCCCTGTTAGGAATGAGTTCCAGGACAGGGTCGTAGATGCTTGGGAGCTGAAACCACAAACCGCCTCCTCTGCTTAGTGATGACTTTTCTAATTTAACAAGATTCATCTCTGTCCAACAACGAAACAATTGGTTCGTCAAAGGTGCCTGCTTTGTTCCTATGGCGCAGATTTACAGCTGAATCGTTTCCAGAGCTACTGTTCTCTCCTGGGCTGCGCCACGAGTTTTTGGTGTTGTTTGGTTTGTCTAATGCAGGAGTCCGAGTTGCATTGAATTGTATACACAATGCCGCTCAGCTTTGATTTGGTTGTTCTGTATTTGGGAAGAACCGTTTTTTGTCTGACACACATGGAATTAGAATGTTTTTGCGTCTTTGTTTTCCCCCTTTTTTGTTAGATGCAGTGTTTTTCTCTTCTAAGATAAACTTTAAACCAAATGTTTCTATATATTTATCAATTAAACTGGTGTATTTTTGTTGGCCCTCAATACAGTATTTCCCTGTAAGGTAATCCCAAGTCCTCCACTGTACCTATTCCTAAAAACTGTCATATAAATGTAGTTTTTTGCAGTGTTTTTTTACATAAAGTTTACAATAGTTGTACAAACTAAGTAAATGTGAAAAAGCTAAAAAAAAAAAAAAGAAAAAAAAAAGAAATAAGGGGCAAGGCAACCAAGCATGTGGCAGAAAAATGCAGGAGAGGAAGAATATGTTGGAAAAAATAAAACCAAGTCATCAGTATATCAAACAATGACCACCAAAGGTATAAGTAATGATAAAAAATTAGAGTTCATATGGTAAAGATCTGAGATGATCACAGAGCAGGTGCACTTGATTAAACACAGGTGGATTCTACTTATCATCAGTCATTTAGGTCAACAACTTCCGGAGATTTTTCTGCACTTACAGTAAAGGGGCCGATTAATTTTGCACACCGCACTCTTCTGCATTTTATTTCTAAAAAAAAAGTTTTAAATATCATAGATATTTCTTTCCATTTTGTGATTCTGTTTTGATTCTTCACAAAAAAATAGAATATATTTATCTTTGATGCCTGAAATGTGGCAAGAGGTGTAAAAGTTCCAGGGGGCTCAGCTGAGGCTAATCCCATCTACCTTTAATTCATCATTGATGAGTGATGGGTTGTGATAGAAATTATTATTATGCATATTAAAACTCCTGTTTGCATTTAAGTAGTTGTGATTTCTGCTCCTTGTCTGCCTTGCATTGTAACTCTGATGTGCATGAAGGTCTGACCAAACTTTTTTCCATAACAGCTGTGACTATTTTTTTATGGCGCAACCCTATTCAAAAAGACAGTACCCAGAGTTCTCATAGAAGTGCTTTTTGCATTTACTTGACTCCTTTGAAAAACAACAGAAAGCAGGTTGTTTATCATACTTTCAAGGCTTTATAATATGATGAAATCTCCACTTTAACTGTGTAAACAACATTTTTTGCTCTATATTCTCCACTCGTCATTAATACTACATATTGTCACATCAAAAATTCTGAGTGTTTTTTTGGACATAGCTGAAAATACAGTTTTGTCATTCTCTGTGCTTTATTGATTTGATTTGGTTCATTTTGTTACAGAACAAGTGGGACAAGAGATTCTTTCCAACCTTCATACTGATCGTGAGAAGATTCAGAGAGCGAGAGAAAGGGTACGTAACCCACCTGCCACCTGCTCGAACTAGGTCCTCTCTTCTAACAAGTGCATGTGAAACCGTAAGCTGTGACAGCTCGTTAGCATCGCTGTCATATACTGCCTTCTTTTTGGGTTTGTCAAGTAAACGTAAACTTTTGTGTATTCCTGTGTTTCCCTACTGAGTCAGCAGAATTGGACTGACAAAATAAGTTAGGTACCTATTTATGGACATCACCGTCCCCCAGTCCTACAGATATTTTTAGTCTTGAAAGACTTCACACATCCTGCAACGTCTTTTAAAGTGTGATCAGGCTGCCTGCTTTATTTTTCTTTGAATTTTTTCTTTTTTTTTTTTTATTTCTTTGGAAATTCTTCCACATGCCATTTTCCTTTCTCTCCAGTCCTCTTTTACTTTTTATAGATGCATGTTCATTCTCTCCATCTTACTTTTCCTCAGAGAATCCCCCTAATCCTTAGCTGTGCCCTCTCCTAACATGCAGCCCGCCAAACACACAGGTGGGCAAAGACAGAAAAGACCAAACACAGAAAGGGGGCCCGGCCCTGTTGGCCCACTAAACGCAGAATGCTTAAAGATCATAACATGGCAGCGGGCCTTGCACAGACGATTTCAAAGAAAATCAAACATCTCCTTTCAAAACACTGCATAGAGTCTACTGAGAGTACCTGCTCTCTTTCTTTTACTCTCTCTTACTCTGCTGCTCCCCTCTTCCCATGAGTCTCTTTTCCTTAAACTCTCCGCACCACTGGTACACAAATTCACACATGCACATGCTTCTTTAAAGGAAGTGTAAGAGCAAAAGTTAAGTAAGAAGAAAAAACAATATGGAAAGAGAAAAGGATTGTAAGACTTAGCACTACCTTTTTTGCATTAAATAGCTGGAATATAAACCGCATGAATTAACCTTTGGGTTATACAAAAAAATTATACAAAAACACAAGAACGAACTTAGACTATTGTTGCTTTGAAACTGCAAATAGAAGTACACTAAATCTTTCACCATTAGACGTTTCATTTGCACAAGAAAAGTATAATCAGCATAATAGTTAATAGCAGAATCAGTGCTACAAAATGAATGAAGACATGGGAAAACTTTCTTTTATATGTTCTGCAACATTAGTCTCCGCTTTCTAAGTATTAACTTATGGTTTATATCCATAAGTTTTTGCATATCTGTAATTTTTTTATCAGAATAGGTAGACTCATTTCAAATAGTTTTGCTTGTTATTTTGTATGGCATAATGATGGCTTCTAATTCTAGTCTAATGTTCAACAGTTTTATCGATTCCAATCCCAGTTTTTTTTATGTGTTTTAGTTCTTTTTTTCTGTATAAATGAAAACCAAGACAGATCATTTCAAAGTATAAACCCCCTGACCAAACAAACACAACCTAGGAAAGAAGAATAAAAAGGTAAGAATTCAGTCAATAGGGTTTTTGCATCTCTGGTCTGTGGTAGACACAGGACAAATGTCCACATACACAACCTGTTTAATTTAAGACACCATTCATTACTCTTTCAGTTGGATTCAGTTGAAAAGGAAAACATCTGATTTTTATGTGTTTAAATTTGATGTGACCCAATAAGTCAAAGAAATGACCCACAATCTTATGAGTCCTTAAAGGTATGGAAAAGTATAAAGTTCACTTTAATGGTTTGTTTGCACACGCTTTACATATACAATAGTATACATTACTTAGCAAGAAGAATAACCTTTAACTTTTTGTATAAAAATATAATCAAAATGTTTTTAAAGGCACGGTGTACAGCTAAAAACATGGTGTCATCATTTCATGCACTTTATCATAATATAGAATATGTACTACAAATTAACTTGTATCTAAACTAAACCATAAAACCCTACATCCCTACAACCCAAGGACAATTAAGACATATCTTAGAATACATACTTGAAGAAATAGTTATCCAGCTTTGAAGCACGGTGGCGTAAGCATCATGCAGGGCATCTGTTTTCCTGCCATTGGTTATCTTGCATTTTAAAGTTGTTAAATCAACAGCAGCCAGGTAAAACTTTCATAAGGCAGTTATTTCAAACACACATCAAAACCTTTTTTGAAGTCTTGGAATGGATAAAGCGTATTGTTCTTGAGCATCAGGAAAGATTTCCTCAGACCTGTTGAAATTTAAAACAAGAATAGAATTTAATTAATTTGGCACTTTTTTTAATAAGGTTTTTTAAATAGCCGACTGCTATTTTATTATTTCTAATAAAATAAGAATAATTCAACGTCTTCCTTTTTAAAAACATTAGATTTTTATTTTTCTTATTGTTGTAAAGGCTTGTTGGACTTTTTCCTAATTCAATTAATGCTTAAAAGTTCTAAGTTTAACCAACTAAAATGTGAAAAACCTGTAAGCACCCACTCTTTTCCAATGCTAAAGATCAAGAAGCTAGTTTTACTGCTTTAATGCATTGTCTTGTTTTTTTTTTTTTTTTTTTTTTTATTGCTACATTTTCTCTGTATCAGTCCAACAAGCTCAAACTGGTTGGATGTACTATTTGGGGGAAAAACTAAATGGACCAAATGGCTCTGTTTCATTTTCTCCATATACAGGCAATTGCAGTTAATTTTAGACACTCATTTTAGCTGGTTTCCATTTCAGGTTAAGAAGGAAGGAATATGGAATGGGTGGGGGTGTATTTTGGGAGAAAGTGTAAGGTGTCAGGGGGACACATCTATGGGTAGAAGCAGACATCAGGCAAACTGCTGGACTTGTTGTCTTTGCCAGAGGGCCCAAACCCAAGGTCCCCCACCTCCTACCCTGCATCACATGTATCCTTGGCTCTGGCAACCTGCATCGCATCAGCCCAGGCTGCCAGAGGGTAAGAAGGAAAGATGGAAGAAGATAAAGAAAGTAGCAGTGAAGGAAGGGAGGGAAGAGTGCATGAATATCAGAGTGGAATAGAAAACAGAAAAACAGCATCAAGCACACTGCTGGAATCATGGTCTGAAAAAGGGAGTAAATGGAAGAAGATGTAAAATTGTGGGTAAAAAAACAAAATGCAAAAAAACTAATGGAAACATACTGTTTGAGAGGGAATTCATTTGAGTTATTATCCTGCAGAAAGATGGAGATGAATGACTCCCTGCTCAGTAGAGAAAAAGTCTTAGCAATGAGTATTCCCCATTCTCCCCCATCATCCTCTGGAAATGCGACTACAGGTAGATGTTAGTGGCAGCTCACTCAGTGCCGTGTCAGCGTATTTTTTTCTTTCACACCATGTTGGCAACATCTCTGCCAAATCATTTTACTGTTGAAGTCCCTAAATCTGATAATAGGGTGGAATGAAAACATTCCTGTGACCCCTGAGGGAGAAAAAAGGCAGAGAGAAAGAAAAGGGAGAAAATACAGAGAAATATCCAAGGCAATTAGGGCTGAATAGCCATTATCATTATTTCAAGGGTAGCTTCAAGGACACCTTATGCTTGTTATGTATGTCAAAAGTAAAGGTGCCTCTTATTCTTTTTTTCCCATTCGGATGTTTGCTCTGCAGCAAGATGAGCAGAAGGGCGTTTGAGTGACTGCTGTTGACTACATGATTAAAGCCAGAGAAGATTTCATTTTGAAACGACTCCCATTGGTAACAATTTCTAGCTTTTGAAAATTGAAAGAAAGGGCATGATGGTTTTTACACACAGTCAAGCTTTTACTGTTTAGAATAAATTGGATCTGAGTGTTTGCTCAGTTTCTGGTTTTGTCTATAGTTGTGTAAAGGCAAAGAAATGACAAACTTGGAAACTTTAGCTCTGTAATCTTTTGATGGATGATTGTTTTTTTTTTTCATTATAAAAGCATTTCTTAATAATTAATATGATTAATCATTGTTCTTTTAGAAAGGTTCTTTATTTACTTTAAATAAATGAATACTAGATTTATTAAAGTAATAGAAAACTGACCTTGGTGTCATAACTCAGAGGAAGTGAATCATTATTTCGGCTTTTCCACGTTATAAAGCATTCCTCTGAAATTAACAATGGTCATCCCAGGCGTTGTTTAAAACTGTTAACAGTCCTACAATGATTATTATATTATAATTCCTTTTTAGAGTAATATACAATAACTCCTTTTTTTGTGATCAATTTTTTATTGTTTTTCACATTTTGTACATTAGAGGAGGAACAAGTACACCAGCCACAAGTAGTCAAAATTTTGTAAAGTGTATACAAATTTCCTCCCCACCCATGTCTACACTCCCCAGCCCCTATCCTCATTTCCACCCTCCCCACCCAGTGATGTCAAGGCGTTAAAGAAATAGGAACAAAAATATTAAGAAATTATAGTAAGCAATGAAAAAAAAAGTGGGAATAAAGTAAATAAAATCAATAAAATAACCCCCTTCCCCTACCATCCAGGAATCACATCCACTGAATAGACAAGCAACAATAATACATCACAAAGGAAACAAAACAATGTTCACAGGGATAGCATGTCATATATATTCATGTATGAGTACATCAACAAAGTCAATAGGCCAAACAAACATAAAATCAAAAGTAAATATGAATGAGTTTGGAGCATGAACATATACAATAACTCCTAACAGCCCTCCTGCACCACCATGTCTTTCTTCTATTTTAATGGTTAATTAAAGACAGACTTCTTAACACACTCATATTTAACACGGTGTCCTCTCTCAGTCTGTCAATAGATAGCAATTGAAAAATTTGTGGGGAAAAAAAAACCCTTATTAGCTTCATAACTTGAATTTTTTAATGGTTAACATCCTGACATTACATTTAGCCCTGAAAAGAAATTAAGAGTCCTGATAATTTGTTTTGTAGCTTTTTTTTTTTTTAAATAAAATAAAGAAAGAAGGAAGGCATCGTAGGTAATTAATCGCCCCTGAAGTTTGTTGATTTTTGCTGTGAAGCAATGAGCTTTTTGTTCTAGACAGAAACTAAACCTTCTTGCGTCGGCTCTGTCTTCACAGCTGAGAGAAACGGACGCCAATCTGGGCAAGAGTTCTCGCGTCCTCACCGGCATGCTGAGAAGGTAAGACGAAGGTAGGGACACTGTTTCTGCACCTTTTTCTCTGTATTGTGCTGTAACAGTGGGGAATAAAAGAAAAACGTTTACTTATTATCAAAGTTTAGCATTTTATAGCACATTAATGAATCACAGTCAATCAACACTATGTCTTTCTTTCCTTTCTTTTTTTCATCGTTTTTTTTTTCTTTTATTTTTCCTCTCTAAAGTCATTCAGACAGTTTAAGTTATTGTATTTGTGGGTGAACTACAGTGACAAATACAGGCATTTGGGTGGAATATCACTACATTACTAGTATGAAGTTGTGCATTGACTGTAATAAGAGCAACCCAGTAAACGTTCCTGCTAAAAAAAAATGCTAGAGACAATTGCATGGTTGGCGTCTTTTCTCCTTTTTCTTTGTTTTTCTCAAATCCAACTTCCACTCTTTGTTTCTTTTACTCTGTGCTTCATGCACAAAGCAGCCCCCAACCAACGGCACAACTCCATGCATTCAGATGCAGACATATCAATCGGCCTTGCGTTATCTTGTGCACACCCTTCCTTTTACAAACACGCATGGAGATACACAGGAAGACAGTTAATATCTTGTCACATCTCCATTTCATAAAGTGCTGGTGTGCTTAGCTCTGAACCGTGACACCACAGTTTTCTTTCTCGCTCTCTGTTGTTTTTTTTCCTTCTCTCTCCTCCTTGCCCGATGTGGATTTTGATTAAGAGTAATATGTAAATGACACCGACTAAATGTAAAATCCCAGGGCAGGAAGGAAGTGCCAATTGAAATGGATGCTTCAGTAGCCATAGACAATTTGCCGGGCGGCTCACGGGGCGACCGACACAAAGTAGGGAGGGACAGGCCTGAGAGGGGCTGTGACGCCGACTGTAACCAATATTTCTGCATATGTCTCCATTTTGTCAAGTCTGATTATGTGAAGAAGGAAGCGATGGGGGGTGGGGGGGTCAGCTTGCCTGATTTGTCATCCAAAGCTGTCCTGAAATCATTCATCATTCCTTCCTCCTCATTCTCTTTCGCCTCCACCCCTCTGGAGCTGAAGTAAATAACACACTCTTATTTCAATATTATCATATTAATGTTAAAGTTCAGCTGTCACCTAATGGGAAGACTTAATAAGACGTAGCATTTTAAGAGGCAGGCTGCCACCCCCCCCTCCTCCGCTTGATGTGCCTCAGCTCCTCTGGTTAGTGCCCTGCTGAAATCAGGATTTATGAGGGCTCTCTAGACTGAGGCCCTGACTGCAAACCTCTTCAACGACTCCCTGCCTTTTCTTTCGCATTTTATCACTGTTTGCATGAAAGGAAGAGTTCTTGTTTTAAATGTAGGGTCATTCAAAACCAGAGAGGCAGAACTAAGAGGACAAATTATGTCCAAAGTGCTTGAATGGTTTCTTCTCCTCACTGACGGATCTGCCCCCAGTTTTTGATTACTTGTATATATGTTTTTGATGTCACTTGGTTTGTCATTCCTCATAAATTGCAAAGGCAAAAAAAGTGGTTTATGAAAGATTTATGTAAATAGGTAAGCTCGCAGTATAACAAACTAGAGGTAGGCTCAGGAATTGTAGCTTTTGATACTCAAAAACCTCTTCAAGAGCATTAAACAATTACTCTCTTCTGCATTAAACTGAATGGAAAAGGTAAACATAAGATCCAGTAGTGTTAACTTCTTGTAAAAGGTCAGTATTTTTTCTTTTCCATCATCAAGGCCAGACTTAAGTGTAGATGTGGTTCCTTGGGATATAAAAGATGTCTCTTTCTATTGCTGATTTAACACAGTACAACTAGCGCAGCTTCTCAAAATGTTCTTTAGGTCCTGTGACTGTCACCCCTGCTGAGAAATAATTATTTACTCATTAAGCTCGCTGCCTTGGTTCAAGAAAGCCAATTAACTTTAAGACTCTGTGAATATCACTTATTGTAAGGAACATCCAGACGCATGTTCATCCTAAAAAAGCTGTTGTTTTGTTCGAAAATAAAATGTTGCAACTTTCAAACTGAGAAAATCATCTCTGTCACTGAGGGTAATTGGTATAAAACACTGGATTTGGTTCTGTTAATTGGTTGTGAAAAAAGCTTGGAACAAGCGCCACAAATATATGTTCTCTGCTCCTCCCAAACTTCTCAGCAAAATGCAAGGTTTTTGTGATTGTATAAAAAATGAGATCTTGATAAATCTTTAACCTTTCTTCTTTGGTATTACAGATATGCTGTAAATGTCTTCTAAAAATGGACCAATATGTCGGAGAGAATATGTCTGGAAATATGCACAAAAAAAAGACATTTCATGTTTCCTGGTTGTGTAATTTGGCACATGCATAAGACATAGCAGAAATTTGTAGTAGTGTTGTTTGGATTTGAATTTGCTTTCTATTGTCAGTTCTTGAGTTTACGCCTACCATCTTTCACAATGAATCTGAATGACCTTAATTACAAACCAGCTTTCCTACCAAAATCTTCCTGACAATATTTTTTCATGTGCATCCTTTAAAGTGACAAAAAAAAGGTTACAAATGTTCAAAATAATGTAACTGGACAAGGGCGGGATTCAGGGGAAGGCTCACTCACACTGGCTCTTTTACATTTGTCACATTAATTCAATTTAGTTTATGTGGCGCAAATTCATAACACATGTTCAAAGAGACAGAAGCAAACATTACAACAACAAACTTCATTGTGCTTTTTATAGTTTATATTTGATGTGAAACAAAGCAAAAACATGCACAATTGTAAATTTGAAAAAAATGAAGGTTTATACTTTTTTTGGTACATATCTATGAGTAAAATTTGAGAAATTGTCAATTTTCTATAGAACTGTCATTTGACCAGTGTGCAAAACATACTTATACCCCCCGACATTTTGTTTTATAATTGAGACTTAAGCCTCATTTACACTACCTTTTTTAAACCGTGCCGAGATCGGTCCGAGCATAGTAACCAAGATAAGTGCTGAGTGGAAATGGCACACAAATCTGAACCAGACCGTGCCAGAAACAACTGAACCACGCTAAACTGGCACTAGTTCAACAGTAGAGCTTGGCCCAGTAAAGTTCTGGCTCGGTTCTCGGATAAGGAAGAGCCCATGAGCAGACCGCGTTATTTCATTACATTCAGCCTCCGTAATCATGAAATATCAGACATTCATAAAAATACTAGCTTTCCAACAGTGCCATACGATTTCCAGTGATGGTTCTGCTTAGCAGTGTGATGAACCACAATGCTTTTTAGTTTGCTGCATCTGTCAGCCCTGATCAGACTATCGTTTGTTGTATCTACTTCCCAAAAGCTGACTCTTTCAAGTAAATTCACCAAAGGCTGACTTCTTTGCCTGACTCTCCACAACCAACGAAATATCACAATTATGACCAAACTTCCTGAATGTTACGGGTGATGCCATGTTAATTTCCTTGATTTCTTTTAGGGATTTGTAGTACCAGAGATTGTCACTAGGAGGCGAGGAACTCTGCTAGCTTGATGTGTAAACAGTAATAAGGAACTGAGCTCGGCACGTTTAACTGATTCAAGCTCGGTCCGAACTCGGCACGGAACGGTTTTCAGAGGTTAGTGTAAATGGGGCTTTATAACATAGATACTTTTAGGGTTGTTGTTCTTGTTTTGATAAAGTTGTTGTCATTACTTATCTTTATACAAAATGAGACACTAGAGTGGTTCAGAAAGTTGAAGAGAGAGAGAGATTTTCTGTTTCCGTTGAGAAGAACCCTTACATTGCTGTCTGCTCCTGATTAAAAAGGCCATAGATCTGTCTAAGGCTTCTGTTGTTTCTGTGACATGTTGACACAGAGGTTTTCATAAATACAAGATGATTTTCTGACAACAGCAAAATCTTTCCAGGTGATTTACTGATCACCTCAAGCATTTCAACCACCTATGGTCAGAACATTTGGGAGTGGGATGCTGATCCACACCCAGGTAGGACCACTGGGGCTCCTGGCAACTTCACGGAGGAAGGGGGGTTACTGTGAAGGGCAATGAAGCAGCGAAAGGAGGATGAGGGGGGAGAGGATGTATATTTTGAAGCTGAGGGGTAGTCTACTCTCTCTAGCAGCTGATCCCACATGCAGGTGGTCGACTCAGTCGCCAGGCAGATCAAAAAGTCAAGGCCCCGGGTGGACTTTCCTTTGAAATGGGAATGGGGTCTAGATATCAGACAGAAAACATAAGCAAGCTCACAGCCACAGAACAGCTCCATATTCATGGCTGGGATTGGCGGTAGCGACGGGCAGGCAGGATGGACAGAGCTTCAGCCTGAGGAGGAGAAGGAGGAGGAGGACTTGTACTTATTCAGAGCACTGATGAAGAGATCAGCCCATAGGACAGTGCGGATAATGCAGTAGCTTACAGAGTAAAAGTGCTGCATGTCTTCCCTACTGAGAACTTCCTTTCTTTAGCCTCCTTTAGTGTACCTTTTTTATCTCTAAATTGATTTTATTTAGTAAATCCATGTTCCTAATTTATGGAAATCTTTAACTAACCGAAAATAAACATGGATCAGAAAGTAAAATTCTAAAGAGAAATTACTTTTAATTAAATCACAATACTTAGTTTTATGAACATCTTAATTAGTCAGAGATGAAAGAGAAGTCAAGTCATTTTTTTCAAATCCAAGTTGTCTTATGTCTTTTGCCTCTGGTCAAGACAATAACATCGTTTCATCAGATGCACACCACCTAGTGGGCCTATAAGACTGGATTTCTTTTTTTTTACTAATGAAGTTTTGTGCTCTTTTATCCTAATTTAAAACATTAGCATTATCTTTTTAAGAGTATTTTAAAAAATTATTAAATATGAACTGCTAGACATTATTTTGATATTAGTAAGGTTTATCTCCTAAAAATACAAATGTGTGTTTATCTTTAACATAAATCTCGTAAATTAGTTTAAGTAAGATTAAGTTTGAATAAATCAGAAAAGAGGTGTTTTAATTTTTAAGACCTGTATGAGTTTTTGTCTCTTTGCGAAGTTAAAGGAATTCCACAATTA